CATCCCTCCGGGGTCGGTTAATTGGTACCAGACTTGTCTGGGAGGATAAAAACACTGACTTGTACATCGGCTGGCCCCCGCAAGTCATTGTATAGGCCACATCGCATTCAAACGCCACTACGAATGTACAAATGGAAGTAGAATGCGTGCCGCATCCCAAAAAGGGATTGATCAACGGCAAATCCTTTATTTATCCTTTATGTTCACAAGTTGTCGGTAGAGCCTTCTTCAAAAACATCCCCAGATTCAAGTTTTGATTTGTAGGTGGAACTATTGGGTTGGAGCATAATATCGTAGCTTTTTTCTTTTCGAACAACGAGATAAGTGAATATCACATATGTCATTTGAAAATACTTCCTCTACTCTACCATACTATTCTTGACATTTTCTTCTATACTGTACGTGTACTCAGAACAAGAATCTAACCTCAGCACCTAGCCGATGGGCTACCGTAACCCTGACGTGACATGCGCGCCCGCCGCAGCCGCATACTTTGCACTCGGCTCGACGTCTGATTGAGTTCCTTCTTCTCCTAGTGGTTCAAGCTGGGATTCCTTTAACTTATTCTTTACTATCTGTTGCTCATTCCACTTCTCACACCTATCGAGCAAATTGGAAGTTTTTTCACTGCACTATTAAACTTTTCGTTCTATTCTTAGCAAATATGTAGTGAATCTGCTAACAGTAAGGAGGATAAGGGCATGGTAGGCGACAAATTAGCTCACAATACGGCTCTGAAGGCTTATTAGAACATACTATGCGCTATGCAGTCGTGGCAAAAGTCAGGATAATGATGGTCATGACTGTGCGCTCTTTGGCGTTCTCATACATCTTGAGAAGGGGTTTTTTGTGGGTGCGGTTGACCAAATTCGTGAGGCTCGTCTCCTTAAACTGGTGAACTAAATATTGATCCTCGGTAGAAGTAGATCCTCAAGTTACCAGGACTGAGTTTATCGCGGCGGTACGGTGATCTCGAATTTTCGTCTCATAAAGCCAGGGGTAAAGGGCGAGGTGTAGTATGTAGTAAAAACGTCCCTCATAGGCGGACCGTCGTGAAATCCAATCCCCGGATCCCGCCAGAGCAAAGATGTCTTCCATCTACATAGGGTAAAGGAACTCATGTAATAAAATAAATAGCGATTTGTACATCAGCAGGCTCCCACCTTTTCATACAGGCGAATTTGTATACAGATGCTGCTACGCTTCCAAATGGAAGCAGAATGAGTGGCGCAGTCCTCCACAAAAGCCGAAGCTGTATTGTACCTCATCACGGTCAGACCACACTTCGGTACATGAAATTTTTAGAATTTTTGGGCGCCCACCACTCATTCTTCGATGTGCTCTCGACTTAAAACACACTGGAGGAAAAGCCACGTATATGTAGACACTCTTTTCTCGAGAAAAAACAGGATGTAAATAATCTTACAGAAGAGACGTGTTGCGCAGATCATAACTGTATTTCACGTTGGCGCTAAATTGTTCTCTGTAGTCATCATCGTCTAAGCATATAATGGAGACTTTTCGGAATCTTTCAGTGTGAGGCAGGCGCAAGAGGCTTGTCTAGTTCGAATTGCGCAGCGTGGGCTCTCACGGAGCAGAGCAGTCTGCTCCGCTGGACCCCCCCCCTGAACAATGATACCAAAAAAATGAAGTATTTAGGGAAAAACGAGTGCTTAATTGAGATGTTACACTTTTTTCTAAACGAGCTTTCCACTTTTCGTCCAGACAGCACTGTTCACATTTTACAGTCTCTAGCACTCTCATGGCAGTACTTCTTATACAATGTACTGTCTGCCGCTAGCCTACATTAATACTCCTGTGCAGTCTCACAAATGAGTAGCTCTCAAAAATTGTAACCGTCGTATAGAAAGCCCCAATGGACGCGTTTTTCTAATAAATCGATATGGAGATTTCCCTCTGAAAACCTACGGAATACAGAATGGAAACCTGCGGAATACAAAACACATCATTCTGGTGTTTGCCGTTACAAAATCTTATGAGGAGACGTCGAGCT